AATACCAAATAATTCATCACTTAATCCAAAAATTACCAAATTTCGTAGAATATTAGTTTCATAAGTACATCATCATATTCGAGTGAAATCACTTCAATAAGAGTAGTATAAAAAGCTATTTAACACATAATTCGTGGATGACTCCGAAACTGTGCAGATTCAGAAAACGATGCATAACTCACTCAATACTAATCCAATTTATTCATAATTTATATCCACATGAAGCTAACCGAAAGATCTAGACTACCATAAAATTTCGTAATTTTATCTTAGGGATTACCCGATGAGACATGCAATACAACCAGAAGCTACGAAACTGAAATTCAAGTAGTGTTCATCAAGAATTTATCTTCTAAAGCCCAAAATTAAACCACAACATATAATTCATTAAAACCCATATAATTTATGTTAATTAAGTTATTATTTCAGTAAAGACCAAGGTCCTTACCCAAGAGCAAGAAATCGAAGATGGAGGAGTAAGAAAACCAAAGGCTCGGTGGATTTTCGGCGGGTTTGGCTTGGATGTTCTTGGATGGCTTTGGGGCTGAGTTTGATGGATGTTAAGGGGCTGTTTCTTGAAGATTTTTAGCAGAATTGAAGAAGAGGGGGTTTCTCTTGGAGAGGAATTGAAGAGAGGAAGGAGATAGAAAGGGGCTTGATGGGAGCTTCTTGAAGTGCAAGAAGAGAATTCTTCTTGGGGCTGTTTTTGCTCGATGGAGAGGGAGAGGAGAGGGAGAGAGAGGGCCTTTTGGCTGATGTTTTGGTGTGTAGAAAATGTGAAGAGGAGGGGTTTATTTATAGGGGAGATGAGGCCCTTACTTGCAATATAAAAGATATTGGGGTTTTATTAGCAATTTGGGGAGAACATACCTTGGGGCTTCTTAGCAATATAGAGGAGAAGAGGGGAGTCTTTTGTAATTAATAAACTAGGGAGTAATTCATTTTCCCTCACACGGCCAATACACACACTAAAACATATAATTCATATAGATTAAATAGGATACCAATTAAACTACTAATTTCACATCATCTCAAACCTAGATTAATTATCAATTAAAGCACATCATTAAAATCCATGGACTAAAGCACATAATTCATTTAATCATATAATAATAATCATTATAAACATTTGAGCAAGCAACCACATTATAACATCTAGTAATCATCAATATTATAAACACTTATGAAGCACTTAATCAGATAATTGCTAATCATATATTAGATTAATTAACTATAAGCGCATAATTCATTACATCACATAATTAGAATCAACTACTCAATTAATAATAATGTCTACTTCTAAAAATACTATAATGTATCTAAATCACATAAACACATAGATAACGTATAAATTGCTACTCGATTCATGAAATGCACGTATATTCGTAGTTACCATATGTTCAATATTATCATATATAAATGCGTATGAAAATGCGGGCTGTTACATTCAATGCTTCAAACTAATGAAAAAGATAAATATTTGTTATCAGAAAATTGGATTCGTTAAATTACTTTTAATATAAAATTGAAATAATTTCAATGGATGAATGGAATTCCCAATTTTCATTTATCATCAAAGTACTTTTGTTGACTCGTGTTAGTTGTATAAAATAAATATATGTCAAATAATAAGTTTAATAAATATTTAAGTTGTTTATGTGACAGGATTTTCGGGGTTGACCTTTATTTAGATCAAACTCATTTCTTAAACTTTTCGAATTTGATAGAACAATTCAAACTAGGCACAATTCATTGTAATTAAGCTGGGATCAAATAAATGGCCCGAGTCATTGTGATACGAACACCGTAGAACGTACTTGTTACAAGATCCAGTATCTTACGCGGAAGCAAAAACACGTAACATCCAAAACAAGGATTCAAATTGGCGGAAGTAAGGAATAATGACCCCATTGCTATAAAGAACTAGAAAACATTATTACCAAGGTGAAATATTAACCTCGCTAAGAAAATTACAAGAATCAACTTGTAAGATCCCGAAGTTTGCTGTAGAAAAGCGAAGGAGAATTAATTACACCTAAATACTCAAAATATCATTAAAATTCGTTCATCATAAAAGGCCAAATTGATAACCTATTTATAAGATCTAAAAAGACACATTTTTCACAAGGAAAATGACTCCTAGCTAAACTATATAAGTAGACTAATAAATAAGCAAATCCTCCTACCTAAACTATAATAAGTATACTAATAAATAAGCAAATTCTAACCATAAAGAACTATACAATAATAAAACCATAATAGGGTTAAATATAGTTTACATCCTTAGAGTATACCCCCTTGTAACACTTACCATCCTTCAAGTATTATTTGTAACACTTACCCCCTCAAACACAATTTAATTTGTATTTTAAATTCTAATACATTAAAATTTTCTCTTTTATTGAAAGAAATAACTACAAGAATAATTAAACTATACAACTAAAAATATCTGTTCAAACATATAATATTTTAAAATCTAAAAAGATTATCTTGCGTTGGCTAAATATTTAATAAATAACATCTAACTGTTGTTGGACCAATTAATCGAATATATTCATATCAATAAATTTTAAGAAATTAATACACAGCTAATAGTAATCTTAAGCATTTAAATTTGTTTTAGTTCATTAATTTCTTAAAATAAATTTTCATTAATATTATACAATATATATTACTTTTTAATTATTTTTCAATAATTTAATTTTAGTTACTTTTCAGTGTTATATGATCTAATAATTATTTATTGTTATTTATTATGTTTTCCATTTTAAAATATAAAAAAAATGATGTTGAGGGGTACGTGTTACAAATGATACTTTAAGGGGGTTAACGTTATATAGTCTATACTATATAGCTGCAAAGTGTATTTAACCTAACTAAATAACGAGAACATCAAGTCGACTTCTCGATCATCCTTCTAAACTTGCGTAGACATTTGGTTGTGCACGTCCAAGAACTTCAAGCTTGATTTCGACACTTTTCCACTTCAAATATCTCTTTGGCCAAAATATGAAAGTTGTAGATCTTTCAACTAGCCTTTTCGAATCATTTTGAATCAGCTTAAATGGACTTCATATGAGAGAGTTATATCACGAATGATAGAACTGTCAGAGATAGGTGAGAATCTCGGATGCATAGAATTCGACTTGTCCAACGAATACCCCTCTTTCTTTTCTTCAAATTGTTCACCATGAAATCTCAGATATTTGATTCAAATATTTCTTCTTCAATTCCAACTCGAATAACTTTTTTAAACTCGTACGTTTTCGTTTCTTCAAATACTTCATCTTTGAGCTTGTCCAGATCATATCGCAATGGGCTTTAGGTAGGCCCGACACAATTGCCAGTCCTAATTGCAGGGTATATATCTAGTATGAATGATAATTTAGGTGTGCAAAGTGTAATTAACTCAACAATAAGTCATCATTTATGTTTGGTTAAACTTGTAAGCTGTTAAAAATAGTTTATAAGATATTTAAAAGGTTAAAGGAACTTCCAGATTGTTGCGTAATTTTTAGAAAATAAGATCTTAAAAATTAAAAAAGTAAAAAAAAAAATTCATCCATCCCACATTTTCCTATTCAAAAGTTTATAACAGTATAAATAAACTATAAATTTATTATCGAAACACTTTAAAATTAATTATAAAAATAAGAAGAACTTATTAGCTCTTAAAATAATTTATGGGACATAAAAGTTTATCAGTTGTTTAAAATAAACTTAGCCAAACATGCTCTAAGTTTAAAACAATTTATTGGTGGAGGCGGCTAAACAAATATCGTTTCTTTCTCATTTCAATACCACCAAAATACAAATAGATAATAAATATTTAATAACATTAATACCCATAATGAAAATCAATACCTCACAAATATTAAAAATGTAATTTTTCTTTGTAATGTTTAACACCACACACAAAATCTTCACACTCCTCTCATTCTTCTTCCCAAAACCCCTCATTGTCCTTCTCCTCATCCTCCTTCTTTTCAAGATTTTTTTTTTGAAATCCCGTCCCAATTTTTCGACACTTACATGTCAAATATTGAATTATGTTTTTTCGACATCCACTTGTCGAAAAAAATTAAAAAAATAGCGGTGAATTTCGACATATACATGCATGTCGAATTTCTCATTTTTTTTTTGCAACAGTAGTTTCTCGACATATATACATGTCAAAATTTCTCAAAAATTCGACATGTATATGTCAAAATTCACTGTTTATTTTTTTTAGAGCAGTAATAATTTTTCGAAATTTTTTTTGCAGGTATCCAAAATTCGACATGTATATGTCGAAAATTGACAAAATCGACCTATAAATGTCGAAAATAGGCTATGGGTTTTAAGAAGAAAAAAAACATGAAAATCTACTTACAAACTCAAAAAAAAAAAAAAAAAAAGGCTACGGGTTGTATTGTGACTCTAATTTGTAAGTTTTGTGAGGTTTTAATTTCTTTGAATTTGGAAGTTTTGGGAGGGTTTGTGAAGAAGAGGGAGTTGGTAGTGAGAGTGTGTTATAGTCTTAAAGAAAGAAAACTGATATTTTTTTATATTTACGTGATATTAATTTTCATTAAGAGTCACCAGTACTTCTTCGCGTGCGATGCACATGATAGCATTGCAAAAAGCAAAAAAAAAACAATAAATATATGATAATTAAATTGTATAAATCAAATATATTACACAATATTAAAATAATTAATTGTGTAATTTAAATTACCAAAATAACATAAGAAAATATTAAATCAGGCAGGGCAAAACAATAAAAAAAAAATCCATATCGGTGTGTGTTTAAGTTAGAGAGATTTTTCCATTAATCTTTCGATAATTAAAAAAAATCACATCAGTGTGTGTAAAAAAGAGATATTTCCGAAGAGATAATTAAAAAAAGAAAAATAAAGATTATCGGACGGAATTATGATTTTGCTAGCGGATTTGCAAATCTAATTTACTATATGAAAGTAAAAAAAAAAAAAAAAAAAAAAAAAAATGGGAAATGAAAAATAAAATAAAAATAATATTTTGCTTTATATATTTTGGCCCATATCTCAGTGCCTTTGAAAAGCTTAAACCCTGCTGCCGTGTGCATAAACATCAAAAAAACAAAAACCGTAATTCGGAGATGGCGGTAGAGAAGAACACGCTCGAAGAAGAGTCACCCGCTCATCGCTTCTACAAGATTGTCCTCAGTTGGGATTACCTCCGCATCCTTAAACAATCCTTGGTATTTTTTTCATTTTTCTCTTCAATTTTTCATTTTTTTTACTGTGTATAAACCCTCCCTCAATCATACACAACAATGCGCATTGAATTTCACGTTTTCGTTTAGTTTAATTCACCGATTTCGTATGTGTTTATACTACGTTTTGGGCAGAATATGTACGTACGTACACAAATTTTGTATTTTTTATTTTTATTTTGGGGCTAATTGTTTAGGATCATAAAAATTAGGGTAAAAAAAGAGCAAGTGCTGTGGAATTGAAGGAAGTGAAGAGCACGTATAAAGATGTCGATGACTATTTCGATACGTTTGAGCCGTTGCTTTTTGAAGAAGTTAAAGCTCAGATTTCTAAAGAAAAAAACGAAGAAGACGAAGAAGGTTGTGTTCTTTATTTGTCCTTACTTTTTCTTCCTTTGTCTCTATGTTATATTAAATTGGGGTTTACAGTAGAACCTCGATAAACTAATTACCTCGCTTAATAATACTTTCTTCCGATCCCAACTCGGTTAAAACGTAATAAACTATTAGTTCAATAATTTAATATTTCACTCAATTAATAGAATTTTGTTAGTCCCGACAATATTAATTTAAATAGGTTTAACAAATTATTTGTGACTGGTATAGACAATTCGTTGTTTTCGGGGTGTTTTGTTTTCCAGTAGTTTCATAACTGAATGTACATATATGCATGTAACATGTGGTTTTGAACGTACAGAAACTCAAAGCGAGTGGCAGTATGGAATGGTACAAGAGTGCAATGAAGTGGATGGATTTCATTTACCTACGGTGATAACTGATTTAGAGTCAGTATCTCAGAATGATCTTTTGTTGCTCTCTAATACCAAGGTATTTTGTCGATGAACTTACGATAACTGTTTGTATTATTAACATCCGACTGGCATTTTATTGATCTGATTTTTTTTTGTTCATTTGTCACTGATTCACAGTTTGATGATGATGGTGAGGACAAAGGTTTACCAACTACGTATGCCTTTGCGTTAGTTGAGCAACGTCAACGTGATCGGATAACACTTCGATTATATTTGAGTGGAGAAGTAAAAGGATTTAATACAGATGTTGTAAATACCTGCCCGAGGCTACTAAGGATGCTTCCTATTGTTAGTCAAAAAGAAGGGAGTAAGCCTTTCCACGTGCGGAAGGTAAAGTTCTATTAAAGAAATTGTATTTGTTGATTCTTTTTTTCTTTTTTTTTTCCGATTTTTATCTTCTTTTCCTGCACACGTGGTTTGTAGAAATGCCTTATATTCAATTAAGACAATGAGATTTCTCCTATTTCTTCTGGTGGTGATCTCTAGTTATTGCATTTGGTTTTATACAAAAATAGTTTATTGTTTACATCTATATGCCAACTAATTCCTAGTTGTGTCTACTTCTTTCATCATGTGTTGTTGGTCCAGATTTGCAGTTTATCAACTATAGTTCGTGAGTATGTTGCTTTGCGGTCCATTACCTCTCTCCCATTCAAGGATTTGATATTAGCAGCAGCGGAGATTGAAAGTACTACTGAGGATCGTACCTGGAAAATATCTAAGCCTCTAACAGAATTTATTAAAAGCAATCATAATGAATCGCAGCAGGAGGCTATAAATGTGAGTTCTTAAGAAAACTATACCCTCAATGTTCTGGACCCTAATGAATCTTTTCATCTTTCGATGTTTTGCAGCAGTATAATAAATATATTGTTTGATTGTTTCTTAATAAAATTGCTTAGCGCAATTGTTCCTAGTTATCTTTTAATTTTGATTACTAATAGGAACTCCAAATTTGCTGCAGGCAGGTCTTTCACGCAAGCCCTTTGTTTTGATACAGGTTTGACTTTGTACCTTTATGCTGTTAAATGTGAGAGCAATCTTTTCTTAATTTGAATTTCAGACAAAAATAAAAATGCCATCACCACATCAATTTATAACCTATATCTTGAAAGAACCACGATCTATGCTGGCTCTATTTGTTTTTGTACCGTGCTTGAACTTTCCAAACAAATGATGCAAAAATAGCTTGAAATTCGTCAAAATTAACAGCATACTTGCTCTTAGGGCCCCCCAGGGACAGGTAAAACACAAACAATCCTTGGGATTCTCAGTGCCATCTTGCATGCTACGCCAGCCAGGGTACATTCCAACAAGTAAGTATCTTTGCATCTTTTTTTTTTCTCTCAGTTGCTTATTTTGCTGAGACAGTCTAGACAGCAACTGCCAGATATAATATCCACTATTTGTATGTTTAACTTGATATGTGTTTTCTATTTAGGGGAGCATTAGTCGGAGTGAAACGTGGGCCAGAATTGCCTATTCAAGAAAAGTATGTTGGTGCTGGTATTTCATTTATGTGCTGCAAGCTTTCCGTACTAGTGTTTGTGTTTATATTTGTATAATCCTCTCTGTTTTTTAGTTTATTTTAGTTCTTCTTTGGCAAGTTTTCAGGATTTGTTGACTTGGGAAGTTAATATGGAGTTTTTAAAACCATATTAAAATTTTACTTTATTCTATAGCTTTTAGCTGCAGAATAGCAAATATTGAAACTTAAATAAAACCATATTAAAATTTTACTTTAGTCTAGAGTTTTAAGGTTAACAGTTCACTTGGATGTATTTTTTAAATCACACAGATACAATCACTGGGAAAAAGCATGTCCGTGGCTAGTTGGCCTTAATCCTAGAGATATGATCATGCCTGTAAATGGCGATGATGGTTTCTTCCCCACATCTGGGAACGAGATGGTAAGAGTAAAACTTTTAGACATAATTAATTCTGAAATTATCTGCAAGTCCATGTCCTCAAAATTTTTTGAACTTCATTTAGAAACCGGAAATGGTCAATTCCAGCCGAAAGTATCGTGTTCGTGTTCTAGTATGTGCTCCATCAAACTCCGCGCTTGATGAGATTGTCTTGCGTCTCCTACATACTGGTTAGTTTGTCTAATTTTTCACGATGGGTCATTTTATTGATTTTGCTACTCTCAATTTTTATATTTAAACCTTTGATCTTGATTGAGTTCAGTAATCACGTCAATTGACTCCTATCGTATTAAAGAATTTAATCAAGTAATACAAATATGTTTTATTTCTTTAATGAAATATAACAGTTCTGCACAAAGAATGCAAGGACTTTGTTTCTTCTTTTCCTTTTTCACTAGTATTAAGCATACTTGATACGAACCTGGACTATTAGTCCTTCCTCTTATATCTCACTCCAATTATACAGAGAGTGGAAAGGTTCAATATTCAAAGTACCGTTTTTTAACAGCAAAACAGCTATAGTGTGCTCTTATTTTGAAACGAACTAAGGTTTTTGGCAGTATCTGAGGTCTTGGGCTGGTTATGCTCCTTGAGTAATGTTCCAATCATGGTTAACGTAAGCATTGTACTTGACGGCCAAGAAATATTTATTCGATAAATAAGTAGAATCATATGATATGTTATTTTAAGTTTCGATGTATCAGTTAACTTTCTGCTTTTCAGAAGTTCAATTAAACATAGTTGCCTGGACAAAGTTTACTTATGAATATAGTAGAGAAGAAAAGTAATTCATGGTTAAGGGCAAAAAAAAAAAATTTTTTGGTTGCTAACACTGATGCTTTTATGGTTACGTAACAGGCATTCGTGATGAAAATGACCATGCGTACAACCCCAAAATTGTACGAATAGGTCTTAAAGCACACCACTCAGTCCAGGCAGTTTCCATGGATTACTTGGTACATGTCATTAATATTTGAAAGAGCCTAATTGTCACGTTATTTAAATGATTTTTAGATATTCAAAAGTCGACAATTTTTTTGCAGGTAGCGCAAAAACTTGCGAGCGTGGACTCTCAAGCTGGCGACAAGCAGAAGCAAGGAGGTGCAGCAAATGATAAAGACAATATCCGTGCTGCTATATTGGATGAAGCAGTAATTGTATGTGGTTCTCTTATTTAAATTATAAATATAAATACAATCGTTCGATGGTTATCTATGGAAAAATAAATTTGGTAATTAGCTGAGTATTGCCAGGTTTTTTCCACTCTGAGCTTCAGCGGATCAGGTCTCTTCAGTAAATTAAATCGTGGTTTTGATGTCGTCATAATTGATGAAGCTGCTCAAGCTGTAAGTATTTGTATATCATCATCTTAATTTTGAAAAAAATATGTCTGATGTATGTTAAACATGCGTGCACTTGGTATTGCCTTCTAGAAAGTTACTCGTTTAAGAATGTTTAGTGCACCTTCGCCTAATTTATTTTTTGCAACAGGTGGAACCCGCAACTCTTATTCCACTGGCTAATGGATGTAAACAAGTATTTTTGGTATGTTATTGTCAATATTCTTCATACTTAAACTCGTTGACGTGAAATGATGAAAAAATATATTTTTATTTGCATGGAAATGATTCTAGTTCTAATTCTAAAGGTTTCAGTCTTTTGACACCAAACACTGTAATAATTTTATGTTGAGAATTTTTGTAGTTGCTAATTTTCGTTTTTAATGCATGAAATTTTATTTCACACATGTAAATCATAGGTAATCATAATAAAGTTAAATGTTGAACGGTTCATTTTTAATTGTTCAATAGCATTTGTGTTGGTCCGTCTCCATAATTCATTAACTTTGCAGTTTAGTGCAATTCCAACTTGTGATTGATTGTACCTTACATTACGCTTCATTCATCAAGTAATGTAATCATCAGTTGTATTCTTCTTTTGTTTTAGGTCGGGGATCCAGTTCAGTTGCCAGCCACAGTGATTTCCCCTGTTGCAACCAAATTTGGGTAAGAGCGGCATCCTGTCCAACAACTTTTCTTTATCTTCAGACATTATTATTCCGGTTTTATTTTTCTTTTCTGGTAACTCTACTTGAAAAAGAATAAGTAATTTCTGAAAGTTCTATAGATACACGACGAGCTTATTTAAAAGATTACAGATGGCGGGCTATCCAGTACAGATGCTGAAGACCCAATATCGCATGAATCCAGAGGTCCCTGTCTTTCTACCGTTTTCTCTTCTCTTTTTCTTTTCTTTCTTTTCGTGTACAACTATACATGCTATATATACATAGCATTTCCATTATACAATAATATGCTGAGTCCTTGTAGCGTAATTGATTTGCTGATGATACAGATCAGGAGCTTTCCTTCAAGGGAGTTTTATAATGAAGAACTGGAAGATGGGCCTGATGTTGAAAATCAAACGTTGCGCGGATGGCATAAATACCGCTGCTTTGGGCCATTTTGCTTCTTTGATATACATGAAGGGAATGAGTCAAAACCACCAGGGAGTGGTTCTTGGGTAAACGTGGACGAGGTTGAGTTTGTCTTAGCTTTGTATAGTAAATTGGTGAGTAGATATCCAGAGCTTAAGGTAAGTTCCCGCCTTGCAATTATAACACCGTACAGGGGTCAAATCAAGCTCCTCAGAGAAAAGTTCCGCAGCACTTTTGGCGTGGATTCTGATAAAGTTGTAGATATCAACACTGTTGATGGATTTCAGGTAGGTTCTCTAATTGTAATTTATCTGCTCTCTTTATTCGACTTAATTTCTTGTAATTGAAACAAGAATTATTGAGTTGAACCTAAAAAAAAAAAAAATTAATCTTCAGGGACGCGAAAAAGACGTTGCTATATTTTCATGTGTTCGAGCAAGTGAAGATAGAGGCATTGGGTTTGTTAATGATTTTAGACGAATGAATGTTGGTATTACTCGAGCAAGGTCGTCTGTTCTGGTATGGCTTTATTTTAATTAAATCAGATTTTCAAATTACTGTGTCCGCATTCATCGGATTATAACCTTCTTTTTTTTTTTCTTTTTTTTTTTTTTAATGAAGGTCGTCGGTTCTGCATCAACTTTGAAAAGATGTGATCCGCACTGGAAGAACTTGGTAGAAAGTGCAGAGCAGAGAGATGTATTATTCAAGGTAAACATCCCCCAACTGCAAAAAATCAAATTATTACAGAGAATATGATTTCGTCAATTAATCAAGTAGTCAAATAAATATTAGGTTTCGAAGCCATACGTGGACTTCTTCAACGAGGCTAACCTTAGCGCGATGGAAACGAAGGTGGGAGAAATGGAGGAGGAGCCTCCTGAAGAAGATATGTATATGTATAATAATGTTAATGCAATCAAAGATGATGATGCACAAGCTGAAGATAATGACTACTGGGGTGATGCTGCTGGAGATGAAGACGGTTACGCTGATGATTATGGTGAGGACTAAATAGTAAATACTTACTTTGCAAATTACGAGAATTTATTAATGTCGCCCACTGCTATGAAAAATATCTTCCCTTCTTGCACTTATACTACTACGTATATAGTAGATATGATGGTTATATTATTTTGGCTTATTAACGTCGTTTGCTTATGGAACGAACGTGTAAGCTATTTGCTTTGCGAGTGTTTTAGGTTCAAATTTCTTGCTCTTTGAAATTTTTGTTATGTTATGTTAATTAAACCCAGTTAAGTCTCATTTACTCATTCTGTTTTGAGTAAGCCCAATTTTTTTATTTTGATGGGCAAACTACATTTAATTATAATTCGATACACTATAAATGATATTAAATATATTAGTAATACATATCTCATATATAGTTCTAGGCTGGGCATGGGTTGGGTTGGGTCGGGTAATTGTCAGGCTGTTACATATCCGACCCGATCAACCGACTTTGGAAGATAATAGACAGCCACTATCGGGACGATAATTGTGCGTCGGGAATGGTTGGCAACCAACTTTGTCGGTTGCAATATAGATCGGTTGATTAATATTATTGACCACCTTATAATTATTAGAAATTAAAGAAGGTAAACCACGGATAAACCAGCTTATACTTATCTCCTCGGGGTATATTTGGGAATTCAAAAGTAATATTTCATGATTTTTTCAAGATTTTATTACTCATGTCTTCGTAAGTGTGTAAATGTGTGACCAAAATAAGTAATTTCAAAATCTTTTTGATATAATTGATATTTTGTAAGAAAGGGTATTTTTGTACTTTTAATTTCTTTTTGGTATTAAAGTAAGAAAAAAATTATAAATATGTACTCAATTGTGGCTTTAAACTTGGTAGTATTGAACTAAGAAAAAATTGGGATTTGTTTTAGTGACCCTCATATTTGAATTGCCAATACCATGTGAATTTGTAAGTTATTTAGTCTTATATCATGGGTGTGTTATGTGATTTACCAAAAAAAAAAAAGTCACATTTCAACTTGTGCACTAGTCATCACCCACATAACACTTCCATCAAATCCAAAACTCAACTATTAATTTTAAAAGAAACTTATATTTTGGAGAAATCTTAATTTGCAATGTCTCATTTCGTGCGATTCTACGCGAAATGACACAAAAACGAAATAAGTTGTCAGCCTAGACTTGTTTTTTCTTACCTCAATGTCGGGATTGTTGTCGGCCATATTGATAAATTGTTGTGTTCTAACTGATACTATCGGAAACAAAAAAAAAAAAAAGACAATTTGGAAAGCCTTAGATTTTGGAGGTTGAGAGAATTTGAAAAAAGATTAAAGGGTTTCGTAACAAATGAATTATTTCGCACTGTAATTAGAAAAAATTACATTATGAATAGTAAACTCCAATGAAAGAGAAAAACCCTTGTCAATTCTCTGCTAAAAGAACAAGCCTTCCCTGGCTTATCAGCCTTCTCTATAGTTGGGATATACTTGTATCTTATTTTGCAAACAAATTTGTAGAAAATCTTTGAATTGGACATTGCAGCTTGAAGCTCAGAATCAATTATATTCTTTACTATATATACTTCTTCTAGAAAACCTTGATTTGAAGTTGGGGTTTTTGGCAAATTAAGATTTCTCCAAAATATGAGTTTTTTTTTTAAACTAATAGTTTTAAAATTAATAGTTGATTTTCGATTTGATGGAAGTGCGTGTGATTCTACATGAAATGACCCAATAACAAGATATGTTATCCATTTCGTGCAAGATGGCACAAAATGAAATGTTTAATTTCTTGTAATCCTACACGAAATCACTAACATCTTCCTTTTTTTTTTTCTTTCTCAATTATATAACTAGTTTATCTTTCTTTGATGCAACAACAAGAAGAAGGAGACGACTTGTGTGATTATGTTGTTTTGGAGCCGCACGAATATGAAGATTTTGCATGAAATTACTGTCTTAGACAGTAATATTACTGTCTCAAACAGTTAAATTACTGTTTCAGACAGTAATAAATTTGGAGACAGTAATATAGCAGGTCAAGACAGTAATATTAATTAAAATAGTTTTTTTTTGAAGAAAAAATAAGTTTTCAAAAGAAAAAAAAAATCAACGTCGGAGATTGGTGGTGGCGGTCAAATTTGATTAATTGGTGAAATTGAGTTAAATTGGGATGTAAATCATGAAATGGGATTTGAATTAGTGTTTCAATGAGTTAGGGGTAATTTTGGTATATATAAAAGTATTTTTCTTATTTGCCCATATATTTTTTATTTAAATCGAAGTGTGTGAAGGTGCATACTCTAGAACCATACTACATAGGGGTGAAAGTCGGATGGAACGGATCGAAATTAGCCTTTTTGGAAAAATTCAAAAAGAAAATCTGAAGTACAAAATCTATTCCAATTCCAATTCCAAAATTTTTGAAATCGAAAAATTCATTCCAATTCAAAAAGGCCCGGAAATTTCAGAATTTCGGAAAAAAAATCGGAAATCACATAAGCTTTAAAATTTCAAAACTTAGCTGAAATTTTCTAACATGTTCATAATTTTTCAAAAATAAGAACATCCACGTCGATAAAAGTAAAACTAATAACTGCTAAATTTCAGTTCAAAAAAATAAATAAAAAATAAACACAACTTAATATCCAATAAAACTTCTAACAAGAATTCATTATGTCAAAATCCTAAAACAAAACTTATAGGTGTATTTTTCGTAAATTAAGTATTGTATAATATATATATTATTTATAGTTGTGTTTTTCGGAATTAATTTCAGAATTAAATCGGATCGGAAATCGGAAATTCCAAATTTATTTTATATAATTCCAATTTCAATCCAAAAAAATCGGAAAATTTCGAAAATCAAAATTTCGAAAGTCGGAATGAAAAAAGTTGTTCCAAAATCGGAACTTTTCGAATCGGAACCGGCGGAAGTTGGAAATTCCGTTCCAACTTGCACCCCTAATACCACATTTGAAATATAGAAATAGCAAATTGGGGTCGTTTATAATTAACTAGTATTAATTAAAAATGTGTCGATGAGAATTACTTCACCTACCCTCCAACCACCAAGCAAAACAAAGCAATACTCTCTACTTGCTAGCTAGCTATTATAATATCTCTCTCTCTCTCTCTCTACATACACATACACATATACATACATTCTCATCATCAGAGTTTTACCAATGGCGACAATCTCATCATCCTCCGCCGCAGTGCTCAGCCTGAACCCATCGACAAGAATAATAACTTCTTCTCTCTCTTCATCCAGCTCAGTTTTCTTCAGCTACAACAATTTCTCCAACTCCAACCCCAACCGTGGCCGGATCGTAATTTCCAAGAAGAGGGGTTTGTCCTGCAACTGCCTTTTCGGTCTCGGAGTGCCGGAGATCGCTGTTATTGCCGGCGTCGTGGCTCTGGTCTTCGGCCCCAAGAAGTTGCCTGAAGTTGGCCGCAGTATTGGCAAGACTCTCAAGGGCTTTCAACAGGTTTCACTTTTTTCTCCTTTTTCTTCAATTAATTAAAATAAATAAATAAAACTTTTAGGGCTTTTTTCAGTTTGTTGCTGTTATTAATTACTGATTGATGCATTTGAATTGAATGATTTGAACTTGATAAGAGGATTGAATTTGATTGGAGGATTTGGGGGCAGATGAAATCCACCCCCTATTAACTCAAAAACTAGTTCAAACTTCAAATCGAGAGCTAAGAATTTCAAGTTTATTCGTCCAAACAGCCTCGAAAGATTTCTTATTGTGAATTTGAAATCCTTCCATCCAAATGCATCTTTAGGTGTATGTATGTTTGGTGGATCTTCACAAGCAAAAATTCTCGTTTTTCCGGTAATTTATATGCATTTTAAACCAGTTTCAAGGAATGAAATTATTCCATCACGATCGTTACGAACAGATATTTCAGTTGGACTTGGAATGATTTGCATAATTAGTCTTTAAAAGCTTGCATTATAGTTGAACTTGTAGAATCCCGTTCCACTTCAATAGTCGACTGCTTATTTGATTTATCGAGATTAATGATGATCAATTACTATTTAGAAACATGGTCAGGGAATTCAAATGGAATGTATTTGGTGCCGATAAACGCTGTGTTAGCCGTTGAACGGAGGAACAAGTGTTCATTAAAGGGCGCAGCTGAACCGCCCAAGCTATATATAGAAATAAAATCTATTATTGTTCGATTATGAACCAAACCTATATATAGCAATTTATATCCTCTCTGACTTTGATATTTAGAATGAGTATTTTCTACTGTTAAGCGTTTATTATACAGCTGTTGTGTAATTTGTGATTTGAAAGATCGAAAAGCTGATTACATTAACTCCTGTATATATCATCTGATTGATATTCGGTCTTTTTTTTTAAACTATGTTCCCCATAAATTATAAGCTGTAGCTTTTATCGGTTTTGTGTCATTAATTCAAGTGTAGGCGGCAAAAGAATTTGAGACGGAACTGAAGAGCGATGTAGAGCCTTCTGCAGAGAAGATCACAACAGTCGCTGAAGAAGAGAAGGCAAAAATTCCGAGCGCCTGAGCAGAGACTTATTAGAATTGTTCTGTCGTGATGAGTTGGCGAATAAGTATTTTAGATACAAATTAGCTATATGTACTCGTGAGTATTATCATCATTCAATCCGTTTGTTATTCCTATTGCGACAACATAAGATGAATTACGTCTGGTTAGTTTTCTTGGACCAAATTTGCGTTTTTACTTCATTTTTTTGTTAGAATACGTTGTAATGATAAGGCTTATTGTGTAGAATTGTGTGTTTATCAGCTACCTAATAAGAAGTACTCACGCCATTTGTTTCAAGTGTTTAGTCATAATTGCTTTTTTTCCATATTACATGTCACTTTTTTCAGAGCACAGTTTATTAATATTTAACCAATTTTGCCCTCTTATCATAAATGAATATTTTTCCGGAGAGAAAAGATCATTTAATATCCTGAGGGTATTTTGGGCATTCCTATTGAACTATTCATTATGATTCTTAGGTGGTGTTTACAGACGCTTTCTCCAAAGTGATTACGAGCTCTTCGGTGTTAAAAGAAACTGACATTGAACCGAAGAAAGCTCATAATCACTTTGGAAAAGCGTTTGCAAACACCACCTTAATATGTTCGCAACAACTCTATACACCAATTAAAAAAGAATGGAGTATAGTTTGCTATATTTGTTTTTCGGAGTCGCGCTCAATTTAGAATCAACTCCCTCGGATTACAACCTTATCGCAATTTATAAAGATGTCTAAGGCAAAACCATATGTATGTACCCAAAAAATATACGACAGCAATTAGTTTCTAACGAAAAGTAAATTGAAAGACCACTTTCTTTTCACAGAGTGGCAGTTTGAATTGTACAAAATATCGAGTGATCAAATTTATACAAAAACCTATAAAAACCACTACTACCCTGTACACAGAGAAACAAACAATAACCTGACTAAAATACATGTCTTCAAGTTAGCCAAGCTCAAATCACTTTGGAAAACCATGCTGCTGCTGCGTATGCTAAAATAACTAAAACCAATCAAAATCCCCTCTCGAATCACCATTCATTTAAATCAAAAAGTCATCTCTCCTAAGTATTAATCTTCAAAATCACGTCATTCCTATGCCGTCTCTTAGTCCTTGAAGGCAAGCGTGTAAAGTTCTCTGCACACTATCAGCAACAACTCTCAATCTTCCCTGATTCGTATTATTATTAGTATTAGTATTATTATTATCCCCACCAGAAGAAGAGCCATTCACTTCCACAGTTCTAATCACTCTTTGTTTACATTTATCCCACTCGTCACTTCTCAACCAGCAAGCACGCCCACCATGGCTTCCCTCCATTCGAAGGAAACTTACAGTTGGATTATTTTCACCAAACGAGTACCTTAATCTCACCGAAACGCAGTAAGGCAACCAAGCTGCACCTCCAGCAGCATTTATATGAGGTATATGTGCTGGATCAAGAACAACAGTCAGTCCAAAGTCAACCGAGTTGTGGGCCCTCTCGTAGTGAATATTGCTCTTGGATACTGATGATGTATTATCGGCGATGCCATCTTTGTTGAACCCCATGTGATTCTCGAGGCACAATTCGATTCGGGATTTTTGAGTAGGGGATGCTGAGTCAGCAGCAGTAGCAGCTCCTTGACCTTGAGTTAATCCTTTCTTCCATGCGATGAGTTTCAGAAATTCTCGCAGAACTGAAATCGGTAAAGTCAAGAGGGTGATGAATGAGGCAACTCGAGATGCATCGTAGGGTTCAGATGCCACACGACGACTGAAGTAATCGCATATCTCTCCTATTTCGGATTGAGTTAATTCTTCTAGAGCAGTGGCTGAATTCTGTTGCTGCTGAGTTGGCTGGAACCTTTTGACGCTGAGGACTTGGAGAAGAAGTTGAACTCTGTGAACACTAACAGCAAATACATAGCCGCTGCAAAAGCATCGTATAATCATAAGCTAAGGACATTGTATAAATTACAAAATACATGAACAGAATGCTACAGATCTAACTATTTCTTCTCTCTTTTTCTTGATTATGTGTATAAAAGGAAAACAAAATGCATAAAAAGATTTTGATAAGCACAATGTTTATCATAATATAGCGACTTGCTCAAGCAGTACGACTAAGAACCTAACATTGGAACTTCATTTTACTTTTCCACTACAATTCATTCTACTTGAAAGTTGAAACTAATATACACAAAACTTATACCCTAATAACCACAGCAGCCGTAAACTTTCTGAAATTATATTTAAATCTGTACATATCTTATGATCTAGTTTCTTAATCAAATTACCGCCTTATATTTTATATTATCTTTTTACAGCAATGCCTATAGACTAATGCAATTAAAGAATACTTTAATATTCCTGAAATGTGTAGAAACACAAACACACTGAAATACAATTATTGAAGTAATAACTTATTTTCAACTAAAAGAAGGCATCTTTTTTCGTAAAACAAATATGTTATGATATAGTTATGGAATACAGTAACTATTGAAAATCCAGGATATATGTCTAAATAAGTATGCACATACTATTGTTTCAAAACATTGAAACTTTCTCGATGTCCTACTTTCTGACTAGATTCAACTTTGTCTATTTACTAATACCTCATTTCACGCAAGTGTGACAAGAACAAACTCAAAATGTCACATCAATCAATCATGTCTAGAACTGGAGTTCCTCGACTAAATACTTTTATCTGATCCATGTACGTTTCTGTTCATTTGATGAAAGTTCATATTTTGAAAGTATAATAAATACAGTACAATAATATTATAAGAAAACAATTCTATAGTATATAGAGAACAAATCACACACTAGAATCGCATTGGCAAATGAATATTATGGTCTCTCCCACTCTGCTTAATCTATCGGACTCTGGGAGTAAAGAGGAAAATAATTTTGGCTGCCAAAAAATTGGCATCACATTTCAGAGCACTAAATTTGCTGTCAGCAAAATATCAGTAGTTGGTTCGGAGACTAATGTTTAATAAGTCCTTTTTGCACAACACAGCTTGGATGACCATCCATTGATTTTAATGATAGCTAAAGTAGACAAGCATTTTGCATTAGTAAGATGTAAATTGCCATGTGAGGATGCCACCAGAAATCTGGGGAGACATTCACTTCAACAGTGCTTCAACAAAAGTGTAAACAACTGAGCAGGAACAGAAGCAAACATAATAATAAGTATTAAAAAAAAAAAAAAAAAAAAAGGAGAGCTTGAGGATAAAACTCACAAAGCCCGTCGTGCATGAAGAATATTTGCAAGGATGAGGACAAGAATAAAAACAAATAGTCATCTAGAAACACATGAATACCCATACCCCTCTTACGAAGAAAATTCAGTTCTTAAGCCTCAAACATTTTTACCCGCCCAAAGTTTATTTTGAGACTAAAAATGTAAGTGTGTGTTACTCCAAATCAAACATGTATGTCTAACAAGAGAAACCGACAAGTTAACAGAAGAGGATGCAGAGAAAAGTAAAAGTTGAGAGGTTAAGGCTATAATGATTCTTAACCGTGAAGTCGATGCTAAATACTGATCCTCCAGCTCATTTCATGAGGAAGTCCAAGGAACATATTGTAAGCTCTATACAATAAGTAAATATGAACACGCAATGATGTATAAGGTGTAACTTGTAGGCTTACCCAACAAAGAAGCGCAAAGCTGGCTGCTCCTGATCCAAATTCAACAATGCACCTTCATTATCCTTCAGAATTGACCCGAGGATCTCTTTCAAAAGTTCTGGCAATTGTGCAAATAGCCACAGTACTCCAAGATACTTCAGAATACCTCTAAGGACCTTTTTTAGTGCGACAAGAGGAACCCATCCACCACCATAGCCTCCATCATCCCCAAGTCCAATTATGGCAGTATTCAGCTCTCCTCTAACATGAGCAGGGACCGCAGAACTAGGTGATCTACGTAATTGGTTAACCAAAGGTACATTGGAAGATCCAGGAAGAGAGTTTCCTGTCCGGTTTAAAACAGCTAACACATTTCCTGTTCGAGCCATTGGTGAAGTATTTGCAAGGTTGGATCTGCTTCCAGGCGTAACTGGTAGCTGTGAAGTTGCACTCTGATTGGGATTATTTGAATTAGACAATCCAAGCGCCTGGGTAGCACCTGGAAAGTTAGAATCGATGCCGTTCAATTCCTGAGCAACATGCTCCATAATAAAAGGTCGAAACTGCGGACATGGAAGTGATCCCCCAATAGGTGCACCAACTTTTGGTGGGGTAGCTGGTTGCAACCAAACTTGATCTCCAGCAAAACACCGCATGTCAACAGCAAAATTTTTGCGATATATGACTCTAATCCAGTAGGGGCCTCTTAGCACCACAGAAACATCAATTGGCAACAATGAACTGGGAACAATGCCAGGGCCAGGACCACCTCGACCAGCAGCAGCTGCTGCTGCTGCCGCCGCGGCTGCTGCCAGGACTGCAGCAGTATTATGAGTTCCAATAGGGCCTGTTGATGTAGGAACACCAGGATTACCCGCAGGACCAGATGAAGCTTGACTAGTATTCGTGTTGGAATTGCTAGGCAGACTCTGAGATGGCACATATCCAGTCTGCTTTAAAGTAGAAGAAATAGAGCTTGTCATCCCAGGAACCCCAGAAACAGGAGCAGCTCGCGCAGGCCTTGTAGCAGCAGCAAGAGCATGCAACGGTCCAGCAGTCAGTCGAATGCAATCCAAAAGGGATTCAACTTCGCCTCCATTAATGAAATCTTCTAAAAACTGTCGAAAATATAAATTAAGAGTTTTATCTGCTTGTTTAAAGAAACTAATGAAAAATCTTCAAAACATTTGCACAGGCAAAACAAAATAATCATAAAGCACGTTTCTTTTTACTCAAAAGTAAATTAAAATAAGGTTAATCAAGTTATCTTCCAACTCAAGCAACTCAAAGTCATCAATGCACCCAGATTTTAGACATGTAAACTTCTGTCTCCATGGAAATAAAAATTAACCAAAGACTCAGTTTTTATGGGATGGAATGGCATTTGGATAGGAATCTGACCTTGACAAATTAAATTTCTATGTGATGCCTACGAACTGAAAAGAATAAAAGCACAAAAATTCAAAAAAACGGAAGTAACCAATTTTCGCAAGTTTGAATCCAAAAATAGAAACTCAACATCTTAATTTTGCCACGGTAATTAGTGAGTTTGGAATCTAAAGGGAGAAAAACATAAGGTACTCGTCCCCAATGTCAGACCTCCTTTCAGCACACAAACTTGTCCACGATACTATTTTTAAGTTTGTTCCGTCTTTCTAAGATCTCACATTCTTCTCAAGGATGGTAAAAAATTATTTTAATATTTACAAGAAAATCTATGATGTATAGAATTATTACTTTAGATGCTATTAAATTTCTACATAATTGTGACTGTACATGTTCTTCGGCAGACCTGAACCAATAGCATGAAGAAAGAAAAATGTATCTTATTCCCAAAGTCCTAAATTTATCAAATACTACGGTCAATAGATTATGGGTACCATATGACAACAAATACGTACTCAATATCGCCGAACAAAAGGGCCTAAGGAGTATGCTCATGAGCCACTAAATTTAGTATGCAAACTTCCAATAAAGCAAAAGAATTTTAAGAGAATCAAAGCTGCTCCAAGCAATTTAAAATGATGTTTGAAAATTCATTCCAGCTACAAGACTATATGGTTTTACTCCCTCATTGACAATGTAAAAAGAAAATCAGGTTGTCAGAGATGCTCACCATCTCAATTGGGGAACTCAAGGTTGTTGAAAGAGCACTTGACAAATAAAACACTTCGCAATTGAGAATACCGAATTTCATTTGCTATATAATCAGATCCAGGCTATGAGCCACCTGAACCTGAGCATGGTTATGCTTGGGAAATGTAACTATGCTTCATGATGTCAGAATCTAACTAATCATCCGGTGGAAATTCTGTTGACGCCAATGAACCAATAACAATGTGGCACCCAAGGTTGGCAATACTTTAATTAGATCTTAATCACGAACAGTGTGAAGCATATGTCCTATGAGTTGGATTTTATTTGCATTTGGATTTGGTTCTTATCCATGAATTCTAAGCTTTCATTAACACGAAAGAAACTCTTTCCAACTAACAAGGAAATGCATACACTTGTAAAAGGGTCATTCATTGAGGAGAAAAGATTGGGGAGGGGGGCTGGAATAAATTGAGATGTCTAAACAATAGGAAACACAGAGAAAGAGCAGGCGAAGAAAGTTTATTAAATATCTGCTAAAGAATGAACAAACCTTAGTATGGGGCCAAAGCTGGTCGGGAGAAACATGCATTCTGCAGCCCTCTTTACCAGACTCCCACTCAACAACAAAGCGAGCAAGGACACCTGAACCAAAACTAAACCACAAACTCATTAGTCCAACAGCTTCAATTCTAAACGCTCTTCTCATCTGTTCAGACAACTTTTCATAACCCTCCATCACGGTTTTCAATCCAGCAGGATTTTTGCTGTCTAAGTTTCCATTGTTCTCTTCCAGTTTCTCATCAGTCCTTGCACCTAATAGTTTTCGCATTCCAAGGGCGAAAGTTTTAGCATTTGAAAGTCTTTGTATATCAGCCACTAACTTCTTAATACTATCAGCCTCCACAGAATTGTAACTCAATATAACACCTTCCGAGTCATAACGGATATGAGAATCCACATCAGATGTATTAGCTATTCGAATACCAGAACCCCACGGGGTAGTATTGCTCCCATTCTGAAGCTCCCACAAGTCCTCATAGTGTGGGTCAACAATTTTGACATCCCAGTACAAGCTTCCAGGGCTCCCCAGCCTCAAACATATGTGTTGCCATGTATCATCTCTGGAAAATGGAAGGCGGAACCACAAGTTTGAGGATGCACTTCTCAGACCCACTTCTTCAACATAGGGTATATCAAGTTCTTCCATCTGACTAGTCAATCGGGCATGTTTTATACACAGTGAGCAATGTCTAACAATGTGAAGGAGCGCAGATACGTAAATACTAGGAGATGCGCTGCCCATATTGGCTTCAGCTATAAGATTCGCAAAGCTGTGTTTTTCAATTTTACAAGGATGGTCACAAGAACTAAGAGGCGGTGTATGAGAAAGCTCGGCATGTGGTGTTTCCTTAATTTTCCTTCTCTTATTAGATGCTTCATTGATTGCAAGACAATGCAGTGAGGGAATAGATTTTAACATATCTGACACAGTTCGTTTTCGGGGTATTCCATCATGTTGAGGTATGCTTTCTTGGTTTGAGTTCTCGAGAACAGCACTGTCCAGTGTTGAAGCTGAGAAAGAGGCATGTATGGAAAATGTGATTAAGTGAAGCTATATGCTTGTTAATGCAATTTACAAACCAAATGCAATAAAAAATAATTAAGACGGCCTCTTACATATAGGAGAATTAATCCATGAGTTAGATCCAGAAATAGCAAAGTTCCCTGATACAGTCCCAGCAGGCGTGCTTTTAGGTTCATTAGACTTCATGCTCACTACTGAAACTGGAGGGCCGGTGCGCTGTGGTGGAGACAAAAGCCGAGCTGAGGGAAGTCCAGCTACAGTCAGCTGGTCTTCGTCCATTACACCGTAAGAACCAAAGCGACCAGAATGTGGAGACCTGAGAGCAGACAGATCCTGATCTGACTTTGAAGCTGTTAATTTATTCATAGCTTGGCTTTTCACTGAAGGCGTGGTAAGTGAACTGGTGGAACCAGACGGCATCAAGCTCTTAAAATTGCTCACAGAATTTTGTAATGTTTGAGCTCCATCCCAGTTTTGGGGTGATGCTGAAGGTTTTGCATTATGGAGATTCATACTTCCCAAGCCAAAACGGGATGTAGAAGACAGACCAGATGTAGACAATGTGTTATGTCCAGATGACCCTTTCTCAATCTCAAAGACTTCATCGACAATAGATGAGAAACTGATAGGAACACTAGATCGAGCAACAGAACCTTCCAAGCTGGAGTTAGAGTGAAGAATGCGTTCAGAAACCTCATTAACATTAACATCATCAAGAATCGATACCATCTTCCGACGATCGAGAAGGCTCAAACTGAGTTCATCTTTGCACATGTGCATCGTACTAATATCCAAATCTTTTACTCTAGTTACTTTGCTCATATCACCAAATGCTTCACCTTTCCCAGAGGGATCTGTCTGTGCTTCTATTAACTTGGGACAAGGTTTGAACTCCTTGTCAAGTTGCATTAACAAGAAATAAGAACTCCCACACTCTGGGAATCCCATGAATAATGAATTTGACTCATCCGAAATGTTCTTTGGCAATTTTGCTGCTGTAAACCCATGATCAAATACCTGCAAGAAGATATTACTATGCCTATTTAGTTGTTCAAACAATATAATACTTATACAAGATATGCAGGTTGGATATCCATCCCCTCATATAGAGAATGCACTCTAGATAACATAGCTTCCTCTTGCTACAGATATTTTAATTTGGAGAGTCAGTTTGCCACCAACATGAACCCTACTGTTCGTCATTTGTAAGATGTAGCTTCTGTAGGATTTTAATTTCCTAAGCAGCGTTGCTTCTTCGCAAACAACAAAACCACATGGTTCATGAATCTAATTCGTTAGGCATCTATAGCAGGAAAATAGTGCCTTTAGGGAAATGTCCAGATCTTCCAGTTTCCATCATCAGAAATTCAGTGAGCAGTGGGTAATTAATATCTTATCATCACAGAACAGACACCCTTACTAAGTATACAGATGAAAATAAAGTCACAGTACTTTGAATAGAGAATGAAGTTGCGGATGCACTAGCAAATTAAGGAGAAGTCTCAAAGATTATAAATACCTCAAGACCCAAGAACCGTCCAATGCTTGCAAATAAATGTAAAATACTATTTTTCCTCAAGTTGATAAAAGCTTTCGCTGCTGTAATACTTCCCTGGTTCAATGCTTCTTCACACTCTAGCAAAGCCTTTGATGATATGATATTCTTCGATGAGCGAAGAAGAAAACGACCACTCCTGCAAAGCAAAAGGAAAAACTTAGCTTTAAGTTCTTTAAACCAGAAAGAACGTCTCCTGAAACTTCAACTATCACCACAAATACTCCAGTAAGAATCAGTTCGAGCATTGACATCAATTTGGTCAATTTGGGCTTAGTTTGGGTTGCTTTGAACTAATCAACACTTTGACGTAATAAATTAAGATCAAAGAATTGTGCTAAGAATCTCTGAGTGCAAGTTTATGTTCTTTTTCTTAGACACAGTTGCGCCCAAAATAGATGCGGTGAGTTTCATAAGCTTCCTTTAGTGTCTGATTTATTTCCATCACTCAGAAATAGGGAACTCAGTGGACATTCATACACACGTTCAAGATGTTCATTGGCAAATAATTTTTATGGCCTTCCAACAACTACAGGATGAACTAGTGCACAGAGTTTTTGTATGCAATGTTCTAAATCAATACTAACATGCTTCTGGTTTCCATCATTTTAAGGCATAACCTGCTACGACTTCCTAAACCATTCAAATTAGTGTGGTGCGTTGTAATGGCAGGTTTCAGTTAGACGAAGAGTATCATCTATCTTAATGTTGAAAAATTATGGCTATAGAAGTTGTCCAGAATATGTCAGCTGAAGAGCATAATCCCGAACCATAAATGTTAAAACGTGACATGCTACATTGTTTTTAGCTCTTGTGAAGAAAAAAAAAAAAAAAGAATACCAACCACGTGTAATCAATTTCAAATGAAGTTTATTTTACAGTCACTGTCCACAAGCATGCACATAACAGAACAAGTTTATAGTCAATTCTAATGGAGAAAAGATCAAGCATGCTGGGGTTAAAGAAAACAGAAAGGTAAGAAAAGACCTTATGTTTATTCCAAGAGTGAAAAATGAAGAACCATAGGCACGCACATGCAGAACTTCCTGGCCATCATGCTTTTGATCAAGTGCATCATTATCCCTCTGTTAAACGAAAACATAAACTATGTTTCCACAATTGTAAAGACATGGAACAAATTCTTCTAGATGACTGAATATAAATTTGGCTACGGATGGTTCTACTTCTAACATGTACAATGTACTATTCCCGAAAATATGAACTAAGTCGTCATCGAACCATAATAAACAACAGTAATATTTAGTCAGACTATAAGGTACGGGCCTTAGAGTAAAACTTTGGCAAAAAATGACTTTAGCATAACAAGCTCCACTAGTAACTACTATGAATTTATTCTTGCTTCGAAAAAATATGTAAACACAAGTTGTTAGAAGAGTTCACTTTAGCACTCATAAACCATTCCAATATCACGCCACAGTTAATATGGGATATCACAATACTCCTGTTGAACATGCGACATCCTCATCGCATTCCTGCAATACTTCACATATGGTGGGCTTGCGGAAATGGTTAATCCTGGTTCCGAGTCTATCATACCAACTTATAAACTTATAAACTAGATAGAGGAAAAAAAACACTATCAGCTAGGCATTCTCTTCGCTAACCAGATGTGTCAATTAAGCAGTGGACTGCCTAAAATATTGGACAAACAAAAAAAATGAAACATTGATGGAATAACAATTTCATTATGTAGATACCTTTCCACAATCAGTTGCAAAATCATCCAAATGAAACTGAAGCTGGACATCACCAGGTGTTCTGTTGATCTGTCCATTCTTCTCCACTTCCTTGTAAATCTCAAGAAGGCGGGTATATCTATTACAGCCAATGGCTCTGAGCAGTAGCATTTCAACATCAATGCAACTTCGGTCAAGGGTAAAATCTGCCTCCTTGTCAGTTAGAGGATCAATCACAAATGTGCTATGTGAACACTTTATCTGCAAATCGGGGCGTGGTTCAATTCTTAAGAATGGGGATATCCCTGAATCAGATGTTCCAGTGCTTTTGTCAAGATTTAACCAGTATATGATTTTCAATCCAGGAGTTCGTAAGCCAGAATCAGTGTCTCCGTCATGAGTGCCATGGGAGGAGGAAGCACTCCCTCCTTGCCCAGTAGTACCATCAGATATGAGTTCAAAACGAATTGCATCTTTCCATCTGCCTTGTCGGAGTGTTTGCACTTGTCTTATAACAGTGTCCATGATAAGAGCAACACATAGCTCATGAAGAATAGAATATAATGTCGTGAATGGGTTTTCTGATGCAGCCATTCGGCGTTCCAAATCATCTCCAAGAGCATGTCGTCGTGATTCTTCCACCTTCACAAGCCCACTTCTCTCACCAACAAGCAACTCCAAATGTAATATCCTCCACATTGACAAATGACCTCGATAGCCAAGTGTGACAAGAACTTTGAATTCCCCATCAACCCGAACCAAGACAACACCATCAGAAACTTCGATTCCAGTAAATTCTTTTGGAAGTGAAACTTCAAGTAACTTTGACCTAACAAGCGTATCAAGTTTCTTTAAAGCTGGCCCTTGCTGATCCTTATTCAATATGCTCTGTGTGCCCACATCTTCTATGCATTTTGGTAAACGCTGGTAACTTCCAGTAAGAAGAACCTCAATAGCAGAAGGAACATCATAGATGGGAGCTCGAGCTTGTTGTAGCCCCTCATGCATAAAAAACATTGAATCTGCAGCTTGACTGAAGCAAGTCTCATGACTTGATAGAGTTGATGCAAGTTGTTGACAGTACTGGATCAAAGGAACCTGTAATTCCAACAGCACGAACAAATTAGAAAAATGAAGGGCACCATGTTTCTTCATCTAATGTATCAATAGAAGAATGAAATACTAGTAAACAATTTTTCCCTGTAAGGAAAAAAATAAAAATAAAGATGGTTATCATTATCTAACATAATTTATGACACTACCACTTGAACTGTGAGTAAGTCTCATTTATCCAAACAAAAGTTTATTTGGAGAATAATTCAATGAAATGTAGAATTGAAACTAAAGGTATAATCTAGACAAATCCAGCCTTAAAGCAATTGCATTTGCTACCAGATAATATCCAATGTTGCAATCAGAGTCCTAAAAAAATTCAACATCTAATTCCTGCAGGACATTTTTTAGGGAGAACCCACTATCAAGCAGAACGTAAAATGAAAATTATTCAAGGAGACTAAGCAGCAGCACAACATTTTAATGTTCCACGAAGAAGTCTGCTAAAGCCCGACATTTCACTCATGCAAGGTTCATTCAATCAACTATTAGTTCCAAAAGAAACCCTACTGAAAACATACAGTAAGTCCATAAATCATTCCAGCTATAGAATAATGTATTTAAAATCAACGTGGACATAATTATGCATGGAAAATATGACGTATATAATCACATATTTTCTACCCTTCCCCCATCCCCAATAACGCAAAAACTTCACTCAATCTTAGCCAAGAGAAGAAACCTCGTATCAATCGCAAGAATGTAGAGCACTTTAAATGGCTGTTTTTTAAGTCCAAGAGCATCCGTATATAGGCCCAATTATGTACTTTGCTCTTTCTCATTTCTCAAGTACTTACTATCTCTATCCATTTTAAAAGTAAAATCATCAGAATTTCCCCTAAAAATTTAAAATTTTGCCTATAACCACTTAAACATAAACAAATTTGCAGACATGATTTTCACATGTGACCACTTTATTTAGGAAAGTTAATACACCGAAACCCACTCTAGCAAGTGATTCTTATAAACAATATCCGTTAAATATTCCAAAAGCCCAAGTTAAAAACCCTAACCCTTACATGTTCTTGATTCCCCATGTATTTAATGACCAAATGATATCCATGATTCCATAACTCGGCCTCCATGTCACAAAATCAAAAGAAATACTCTTTACATTCAATTAGATGAACAACTACACTTTATGAGCCCAATCAAAGTAATATTTCTCTTTAAAAAAAGTTTACATCAAGTAAACCTAAGGGCTAACTCTTACTAATTATCCCCAATATTAACAAAATTCCCTCAAGTTTTCAACAAATCAGAAAATCCCAACTCATCCCGCACCACATTTCAAATATGAACAGATCCCCACTCGGTGTTTAGGAAGCAATTATACAAACTCGAACCCTAACCCACAACACAATGTATTTGGACAGCGACACAAAACTGAAAAATGCAAAAAGGAAAATGGTAATGAAAGAAGAAATGAGAAACACCTGCTGGCACCACTTGGCAAGGACATTGAGACGGAGCATCCGCTGCTGGGTCTTAACAATGTACTTCAAAATCATAATCTTCTTATCGGCGTCGGATAACATTTCCGTGGACTTGGATTTCTCCACCAATTCCTTAAGCGAAACATAGGATTCCTCGGCGGCGCGTCCAACCAGAGCCGCGAAATCCAATGTCTCTTGCCCTACCTCGGCCATGATTGATTTCCGTTCACTGAATTGACTAAATTAGTGCTTGCTTTCAGGAATTCGCCCCGAATGGGAAGGAATCATCGGAGCAGGATAACTGAATTAGGGTTTTCAGGTAAGAGAGAATTTATTCAGGTTTTTCTCTCTCTCTCTCTCTCCTCTCGTTTTCTCTCTCTCTCCCTTCCCCTCCCTTACTCTTCTTTGGTTTGACTTCTCCGTTGGTCGTCTGTATCTCTATAAGTAAGGCTGCGTTTGGTTTCGCTATTTAATTTCTTTCATCAAATTCCTCTCTTTTTTTTAATCTTTGTTTTAAGGGGCTATTCGAAAGAAAGAAAAAACCCTATAAAGTTGCCTATTATGATAAATGATAAATCCAATGTTTAATTTGAAATTTTGCATAAATTCATTTGACTCAAATTATCAAAAATATTCATATTATACTTTATCCCCTAATTAACCCCCCACAAATCTCACCTCATTTCATTTTTTTTAATTTTTTTTTTCATTCCTTTTTTTCCATTTTTATCAAAAAAAATATAGTTTTTTATTTCATTTTTATAATAAATATTGCTTTTATTTTTTTCTATTTTTTCTTCCCACTCGTTTAAAAAATATGGTTTTTAACTTCCTAATCTTTTTATTTATTTTTGTTATTTCAGTTTTTTAATTAATTTTTTTTCCACTACGGATACAAAAATAAAAATACAAAATCCACCGAAAACTACTATAAATTTATCGAAAATCGTTACCGTAAAATTCAATGTGAAATTAAAGTAATCAACTTTAATATTAACATAACCCACAACAAACTTAACGAAAACCACTAAAAACATACGTAATTACTAAGAATGAACGTAATTCACTACTAACATAACTCAAAAAATAACATTAAAAAAAAGCGTATATCTACTATCGTAAAACCACTATTCAAAACGTAAATCCACTTATTTGAAATGTAAATCCACTATTATGTCCAGGGAAAGGTGCAACACCGCCACCAACAAGGGCAGCGAGGCATCATTCCGGCTGTTGTACTATGGCGACGGCACCGCTTCAGTGCCATTCACGCACGTCCCTAACAGGCGTTCAACGACAATGTCTCTCCCGTGGAACTCACAGTGGTGCCACATGTTTCCAGCCAAGTCTCCAGCCTTCTTAGTGGACTTTGAAGCATTCTTTCCCCGTTTTCACACAACATTCTGAACCTTGTCGCATAATATAACATCCCACAATCACAATGTTAGAAAAAAAAATTAAATAAATGAAGTAATTTTAAATCGACAATGTAAAAATTAAAATAAATAATCATTACATTCGAAGACTAACGTTAAACTCTTTGGAACCTCCATTCCCAAAGAGAGTGGTGCATGCCCTTTGCTAGATCTATAAACGTAATAACAGTTGTATAAAAAAAGAGAGAGAGAGAGAGAGAGAGAGAGAGAGAGAGAGAGAGAGAGAGAGAGAGAGAGAGAGAGAGAGAGAGAGAGAGAGAGAGAGAGAGAGAGAGAGAGAGAGGGGCGTTGCCAGCGGTGGATAGAGAAGAGATATGGGAGGCGGCGATCGTGGTCATGTGGTGGTCATGTGGAGAAAGAAAAGAGATGGACGACGTTCAAATGAAAGAGATGGAGGTCTCACCAAGAAGGAGGAGGGTGGAGAGGGTGTGAGTGTGGACGTGGGTTGTGGAGAGAATGGAGAGAATAGAAATAAAAGACGGCTAGTGGTTAGGAGAATTGTGGCTAGGTAAAAGAAATTGTTCAAAAAAAGGGATAAAAATAGATTATTCATAACATAATTTGTTGAATTAAATGCAATTGGATTTATCTCAAAAATTGGAAGAAAGAAAAAAGATCTATTGTAATGATACAATTGGTTATTTCTATGCTACACCCGGTGAAGGTTACATCGTGTGGTTTTTTATTATTGATCGACATACACCAATGTGGACGTGTCTGTGTTTGTGTGTATATGAATGGTAAAGATCTACCCGGTGGATTTTACCCGGTGTAGCATAGCATAAACCGATACAATACATATGAGGGGGTTTCTCAAATGATCCCTCTTTTAAGGGGTTCTTTATCGTTTTTATGCCCTAGCACTTATATATAAGTTCATAATTTTTCTTTGTTCGTAAATAAATTCATCCAAAATATATTTTACATAAGTAAAAATAAATTCATCCAAAATATATTTTTACATAAAATGAAAGACAAGACCGAAGGTCATTAAAAGACAAATATATTTTCTCAAACTTTTATACACTTTGATTTTGTCATTTATACCCAATTTCACTAATTATTCAATTTTGATCCCAACACGATTTTAACTCTAGTCGTCAACCACTGATCTTCGACGTTGATACTTTTTTTCTGAAATTTTTTTTCCGGCATTGACCAACGTGTTAGAGTAGGTGACCAACAAGCCAACATGTGGCTGTGGTCTTTCGTATTTATTATTGTAATAAACGAACCTTTATTCGTATTAATGATAAAACACATTGGCATTCTATATCTTTGTCCCTTTGTCACAAGCATAGATATAGTCCTTACAGTTATTACAAGTACTAGTAATTGATCGTTAGGATCGTGAGATATTTACTCAAGTATTATAACTGTTAAACGTGTTCCTAGTCGAAGGGTTACGCCACTAATGAGGATATCGGTCTTTCCCATTAAGACTAGCACTTAGTGTATGTGTACTGCATCTCATCAGTAAACGGTATTGTGATATCGGCATGCATAAGTGGGTGCTCGTAAGTTGACGAGTTCACTGAACTCACTCACCCTAGAAATCTCTAAGTGGTTCCCAATAATCGAGTAGAGATATCTATGGTATAGTTGTACACCATTAGTCCTTATGACCTAGACATCACCGTGACTTCACTAGAGGACCAGCTGTATCGTGACCTGTCCCTGAGTTCCACCGAGGACCATCCCAAGGGCCAGTGTTCGTGCAGTCCGAAATCTAGTGGGAGGTCTGTGCATTGTAGTCGGGGATTCGATCGCTAGAATAGTCTTGGATGTCCTGTGTATTCTGAAAGTTTGTAATCATTTTAAGTCTCTGGCCAGAGCTGACTAAGTGATGATTAGAGAATTCGATTCTCTAAGTCATGCACGTAAGGATTACAACACTTGGAACGATCGCACCGTCATCGAACATATAAAGAGGTCTCGATGAACCAATGCCTCTAGTTCGATCGGGACATATGAATCGAAGGGACCGTACTGTACGTTAACTATATCTGAAGGTTCTTGCAGGCACTTCATTTGTATCTAGGGAATCATGACGCGTAGTTGCTAGACGCCAATCTTGATTCGTTGGGTGATTAAGGTGAAACGAGCTTCATCTCAATCGTAACTCTAAGGGACGAGTTTTGACCACAAAGAGTTGTGGGCCCACGGCTAGCTTACACCTGAACCGTCGAGGGTCACACTGCTCGTGCACATGAGATCTTTGAATAAACGGTCAGAGATAAAATAGTTTATCTTTGCATGATTGGAAGTCAATATGATTGGATCCAACATTCGTAATTTGGAATTATGAATGAGAATGAGAAAAGGAAAAGAATAGGCGAACGTGTTAGTGAACTTTCTAAATCGGGAAGTTTCCAAATTTAGAAAGTGCACTGAACTAGGGTTTCCACTTTTGGAAAGTTGGAAAATAAGAGATGGCACTCGTAATGACGAGGAAATTATAATGATTCCGAAAATGTAATCGTTGCAATTTTTCGGTCATTGAATTAAGAGAGAGACGAGCAAGTAAAAGTACTAACGGACTTAAGTTGTTGGGCCCGGTCCAACTTAAGCCCGCTAGGGTTTTATGCAAGACATATAAATACTTGATTTATAGGTCTTGCACAAAAAACACACAACAAAAAAACCCTAACCCTAGCCGTCCACCTCTCTCTCTCGGCCTCTCTCCCTCGCGGCCACCACCGCCGTCCTCCCGCCGTTTCGCCGGAATCGGCCGTCCATCGGCCGATTGACTTGGTAGTCTCTTTCCTTCTCTTTTTCTTCCGTTTTTCTAACTATTACGTGTCTAGTGCCACGTGTTTAGTAGATCGAAGTATACGAGGTGAAATCCGAGAGGAGGAAGACTGTAGATCGAAGAATCGAGGAGCAACGCACGAGCCGAAGCCGCACGCTGCCCCACGCGCCGCCCCGGAAGACCGCGCGTGTTCCTCACGCGCCGCCGTGGCCGATTCGCCGCTGCACCGCTGCTGCCCCGATTGTACGGATTGGTTTCCGTAGCAATCTCGACTTGCTAAACGCTCCTACCTCACGCTTCAAGAGGTAAATACACGAAACCCTAGTTTCGATTCGTTTATGTTTAAACTATGAATTCATGTTTGCTATCGTATGATTTTATGTGATTATGTGTAATCGTTTTAATCTTTGCAAACATGTTATTTGGTTTAAACGCGAGCATGTTAATTGATTTAAATTCGGTTAAATTATTTAGCATGTATGTTGTTTTTAATTTCGCGGGAAGCGCAAAGGTACGCAATTAATTGATTTTAATTTGTCGGGCATGTGCTTGTGTGCTTTAAAGTCGTTTAAATCACATTAAATTTTTGTTTTCCGTTGCGTACACGTGCCCGAAACCCAACAGTGGTATCAGAGCTCGTTGCGTAATTAATTGCGTTGTATGATATGCTATGATTTTATGCATGTTCGATTTATTAAAGTAGTGATTGTCGTATTATGTAATTGGGAGTTTTCGTAAGTTTAAAATATTTTTGAAATATTGTTTAGAATTTTTCCAGCTTTAAAATTGTTTAAAATTGGAAAATCGGATCTGAAATTGTTTTTAAAACATCGGTTTTTGTTTAATCGGATCGAACCGGTCGAACCGGCCGGTTCGATGGCTCTGTGCGATTTAGTGGACCGAATCCACGTGGATTCGGGTCGGTCAGACCGGTTCCCGGTCCGACTGACCCGGCCCACTGATTTGGGTCAGCTGGACCGGACAGAACCGGACCGCTTCGGTTCGAACCGGTCAGACCGGTTGGGCCGAACCGGTTCACTGAAAATAAAAAAAAAAAATAAAAAAAAAAAAATTTATTTCAGATTTCTAAAATTAAACTTAAAACAAATTGATTTTAATTTTTGGAAAATTATTTTCAATTAATCCCAATTAGATAATTGGATCGACAATCATCTATTTTAGTAAATAGGTGTTAGATTAATTAAATTGATTTAAATTGTTAAATTGATTTCAATTAATAGAACACATATATAATATTGATTATAGTTCAACTTAATTAGTAGTACCTCAACATTATTTGAATGATTTATGCTAGTTG